TGGAATTTATGGAGGGATCCTGCACTTTGTGCTTTTGACACTTTCATGAATGTGACCTTCACATAACTAACATTCCAATTAAAAGTGTTGTCCCAGAGCTTTCCCCTCTCATTCATATTCTCTTTGATATATTCAATGTACTATAATTCCTAGTTTAAAGAATATATGCATAAAACCTGAGACAAGTAGTCTAATTCGTTCCACGCTAACTTAACCAAATTAAACACAGGGAAGATGTTTATACTGTATGCTATACAAGTACAACAGCTGTCTATCAGATTTGGTAGCCTCATAACATGGTGTGCAAGAGTTAAAGAACTCCTGCAAATGATTCTTATGGTAAGAATATAAGCATACTACTTTCATTTTCAGAATTATCATTACTGTAATACTAACATTATTTGGAAAGTCTTCTGTAGCCCCTCAACCTAATCCTACAAAATTGGATGAAGGGATATTATACCACTGACACCTAGGTGTTCTATCTCACATTATCTCCAGCAAGCAGGGTCTATAGTACAATGCCAGAGAGCACTGGACTGGAGGTGGCGACTTCTGAAGCTGTTCTCCCCCATCAAGCATATTAGAAGCCAGCTACCTCTGTTTAGAATCTGCCAGATATTCTTTAATATCAAATTATCTAGCTTCTATTTCCGCTGCCTTTCCCTTCCTGTACTAGCTGGTTCCAGTGCAGTAAGAAGATTGTTGTCATCAACAATAGTGGACACTTTCAAAAATCATTGTATTTTATTTCTTATCTTGCATAACTGTAGCACAATAGATCACATGGATTCATCTAAGGTGAACCCATGTTGAACTCCACATGATTATGCAATATTTTTTTTTTTAACTGAACATTTGGTAGCTTACTTAACCAAATTTTGTATCTTAAGCTAACTTAAAATTGGCAAGCCTTTGTTTAAATGTTCTTCACTCTTTCATACACATTGTATTAAAACAATTGTGTCTAGGTAAATAACCTCGCTTTTTGTTCCTTCCTAGAATTTCAACAAAGGAGTTGGAATGTTCAAGACAGCAAAAGAGAAGGCTATAGCATTGTTCCTACAAAGAAAATTTATATGTCTAAAAAGTGCACTGTTTAAAAACTGAATAAAACCAAACTCTGCGGTTGTTTAAAGTAGATGCATATGATTCAGACTATTTTTTTAATGAAAGAGTAATAGTTATTTTGTGGATAGATCATGTTGGTTGAGTGACCAAGAAGTTGATTGGGACCTATTTGAAGGTCTCCAGGCAACATGCAAAGGTTTCAGATTCCTATTGATCCCTCCATATCTTTTATAGCTGAAATTTTTTAAAGAGGTTAATAAGGAATTGTGGTATGAATGAAGTGTGGTTTTCTTTTGATTCTGCTATTTTCAATTATGGTTCCCAAAAAGAAGCGGTGGAGCAAAATGAAGCCACAGAATTTTTGAAATGACACAATATGTATTGTCTTTCTCAAGTGAAAATTCAAGGAGCCTAATCCAGATTGGGGGGGGGGCATGCATTGAGAGGGAGAATCTTTCTTTCCCCCAACATTTGCCTGTTAAAAATAATTGGTATCAATGGAGAAGAAAAAAGCCATGCATTCTGATTTGTGTTGAGTAAGAACTATAATATATGGTAATAATTGCACATATAAAGCTTAAAGCAACAATAACCATATAAATATTAGTGCAAAGTGCTGAATCCAAAATTTGCACCTTCACACCTTTTTTAAAATGGGAGAGGACAAGAGGACGGGACAAGAACCAAGCAAAATTCTAAAACAGTTGCACAATTTTGGGTCTCACACAGGAAGAATCCCTTTATATTAGGACCAAGAAGTGGGCTTCTGCAAGTGGGAATTCAAAAAAGACCTCCACTTGTAGAAATAAACATCTGTGGAGGATCATAATGAGACCACCAGTCTCTCTGATAGCCTTAAAGATTAAAATTGGAAATTGGACATAATTAGTCCTTCCAATCTTATTCAAGTGTAATGTGATCATTGTAGCATATTGGTTGGACCATCACAAGAAAAAACAGAAACTTCTAACTCCAAGTTCAGCAACTTGCTTGTTGAAAAAGTCTGATTTCTGCCATTCTTCATCAAATTTCCTCTGATTAAGAAGAGGTTAGAAACGTGCTCCAACTACATAGAACTGGTTAATTCAGTAAACTGCATAATAGCTACATTCACCTATTGTTAATAATATAACTATAGATAAGCCTGTCTTGTAAGCACAGCCACTCTCTTGCAATAATAGATATGTATTCTTAGTAAATCACTTAAGTAATCAAAGACAATGTCTTTCCTCACCTTTGAAAGGAAATTAGATGGGTTATCATTATATTATTTTCCAGTTGGAGCACCACCACAGTTTCTTCTGAGGTTCCCCTTCCTTCTCCCAAGAGTTTTCTTTGGTGAGAAAAAGCAGCTTCAAGGAAATTTTTAAAAATCATCTAGAAATCTTTATTGAAATCAGTAGTCTGCTGTGTTTTCATCCTGGATTATCTTGCAATACTATAAACTAGGTAAAGGCTCATTCAGACAGAAATCCACTCCTGAAGACTTCATGGGCAAAGCCATTCCCTAGAGTCTAGACAACCATTAACAACAGGGATCCCCAACCCCCAGTCCATGGACCAGGACCGGTCCACGGCATGCCGGAAACTGGTCCACACAACTAAGTGAAGCCCCATCAGTGGGATGCAGGCAACACACAAAGCCACACCCCCTCCGGTCTGTGGAAAAACTTCTCTCCACAGAACTGGTCCCTGGTGCCAAAAGATTGGGGACCGCTGGTTAACAATGTCTGAAATAATTCCGTATCACTCACCTCCATTTTGCTTCTGATTTTGTTCAGGTATAATTCCATTTTGTGCAGGTAAAACAGGAACATGCGGGTTCTGTCTGTCCTATCAATAGAAAACCTTTTCATGAAGAGGCATTTATACCGTAGCTTATTTTTCCCCCTTCAGTATCAGAATAACTGGATTGAGAAACTATGCATTTGACTACTGTGTGTGGGGGGGGTCAATTCTCCATTCCATCTAATGGGGGGAAAGATATATTAGCCTCATTTTGTCCTGTAACTTTCGGTTTTCTAGAGGGAGTCCTCAAATTATGAACATTCATTTACTGACTGTTTGACACAGAATAAAGTGACTTATGACCAGTCCTTGTATTTAACAACTATCATAGAATCCCCAGAGTCACGTGATCAAAATTGGGGTGCTTGGCAACCAGCATATTTTTACAATGGTGGCAATGTTCAAGGGGTCCTGTGATTGCCCTTTGTGTTCTTCCCAGCCGGCTTCCAACAAGCAAAATCAATGGAGGAAGCTGGAATCACTTAACAACCCTGTGAATCACTTAATGACAGGGGTGATTTGCTTAACATAAAATCATAAAATCCATTGTGACTCACTTAACTACTGCCACACTTAGCAATAGAAGTTTTGGTCCAAATTATGGTCATAATTTGAAGACTATCTGCATTATAATAAACTTTGGTTTATTGGTGAAGATATTTAAATTGAATAGCTGAGAACAATGGGGTTGTACAATGAGCCAGAACACACAGTTATGATTGATTGGTTGGAGAGTGCTGGCTCCTGTGTGAGGCAATCTGTGTGATTGGTTGCTGCAGGTGTGGAGAAAAAGGGCAAAAAAGTTTCCCTTTTTTCCCGCCTTTTTCTTCTTTCTGCTCTGCGTAGTCTATGGTTTACCTCATGATGCTCTTGTTTGCCTGACTATCTTGCTTGCTGTAAATATAGATGTAAAATATATAAAACTACAAGTTTGCGTCAGCGCCTCTCTGACTTCCTTTGGACACCTGCTGCGCAATTCCCTGACATTATTTCCCTCAATAAAGTGACAGTCAGAAGTCTTTTTTCTAAGTTACCGATTAGGCAATATAGTATTATGACGCACGTGGAAGGAAAGGGCAACAGGCCAGTTCTGAATAAAGACAATAGCAATAGATGCGCATTGTTAGGTGTTTTTTTTTTAAGATGGTAGCCCTTGACCAACCCTATTTGGGAAGTCCAAAAATCTCAGAAGGGATCGACTGCCAACTGTCTCTACATTCATGTGACACGGCTGAGTGTTCTTTGCAGTTAACAGGAATTCCTAGAAAGTGCATATTGCTTCCTGAGGTGGGAAAGGGGAGAAACGGCATCCCCTTTGCAGCTCTGCGTAACTAGCCTTCAGTAGACCCATCAGCCTGCTGGTAGTGAATCCTTGAAAACTTTGTGAGTGGAAGAGAAATTAGTAGAACCGAGGGAGAAAGTTGACTTGCTTTTTTTTTTTCTTTCTCAACCTCCAATGCTTCTTCTCAGAGCCCTTAACAAAAAGAGAAATGTTACTGGAGCGGAATAAGATTTTGACTGTAATCATGGTATGATCACCTACAATCTTTTACAGCCACCTTATTCCGCCTAAGTGGGATAATTGAAACAGGGAAGGGGTGAAACCGGCTTCTTTACTAGGACAGCAGATCATTTCATAGCGTAAGAAGAAATGCTGCCTCAGGTGATTCTCCACTTTTGGAAAATATCATCGGGCTTTTAAATTCAGCATATTTTCAATCCTTTCTCTTCATCATCACCTAAATACCTGCTGTAACTGAAAAAGACACAGGATCTGTTGTTCAGTTATTTGCTTGTTACAATGTCACTCACAACTCTCCTTAGGTTCAAACCCTTTTTACTGATCCTTCCTTTCCCACCCAAGCCTATGCATGGAAAAAAAAATCTCCTTTAACTTGTTATTGGCTGAAGATGCTCCCCGCCATTGTTGCTTGAGGTTTGAAATGCAATGAATGTGTTGCTATAGCAACTTGTTCTTTATACAAGGGGGATTTTATGCTAATTCTGAGGAGACCCATGGATGCATATATTAAAGGAAGGCCTCCAGTTTATAAGTAATAGAGTCAGGTTTGACGCCTTTGTTTCCTCACAACGACTTTTACTAACCCTGTTTTCCCTCTTCTTTTGCATTCCTTTCCCAGCTGTAACTTACACAAGTTACAAAAAGACTCCTCCACCTGTACCCCCGCGCACCACCTCGAAGCCACTCATTTCAATTACAGCACAGAGCAGCACAGAATCCACCCAGGATGCCTATCAGGATAGCCGGACTCAGGGGATTTCCCCATGGCCTCAAGATGGCCTCAGGATGTACAACTCCACAGACAGTTTGGATAGCAACAAGGCTATGAATCTGGCCATGGAAACGGCAGCTGCACAACGCCACATGTCGGAAAGTCAAATCAGCTCCGTGAGAACCAGCGACAAGGCCATCCTCGTGACAAAGGCTGAGGAGTTCTTGAAGAGTCGGCGCTCCTCTATAGGGATCCAGGTAGCCTGCCCTTAACACTTGTTCTGGGATGAGCTGCTCGCCTGAGCTCCGTAAAGACATGAGTCATTCAGTCCAGAGGCCCCTAATAACTTGAACAACAATCCCTGCGTGCAGCAATTATCATTAATTACAATTCACGTCCTGGCTACATGACCATGCAGAGCAGAGTTGAGCCAGTGTGCAATGCCTGGAAATAAAATGAATGCATATATCTCTGAGCAGGTTAGCTGCCACTAATGCTGTGGGTGAAAATTATCCTGCTCAGTCACAAGTGAACAGCATGTTCATCTTTCTCTCTTTCCCTGGAGAGGTCATGAAATTATGGCTGTGCAACTGTCAAGCTGGGAACTGTAGTCAGATATTTCTTTTTTTTTTCCTTCTGCTTTGTGCTACCCTGTTTTTCCTTCATAGCTGTGTTTCAATTACATAGAAATAGAGACTAATATAAAAGAGTTAGTTTGAAGCTATAAAAAACTATTTTATAAAGAATACAGAACTAGTATCACTTTTTTCCTTTGGTGTTTGGGAAGAAAGGAAGAGGTTTTAAAAGCAAATGGTTATGAATCTGCAAAGTGTGATGCTATAGCCCCTGCATGAAGATTTTAACTCAACATTTATTTATTTATTTATATCCCACCTTTATTATTTTTATGGAGATAATTTCTTTGAAAATATCCCTCCATTAAGAATGACCCATGTCTTTTATTTGTATATATATAAAGCATCTAACTTCAACATATATGGCAGCGGGGTGAATGTTAAAGTTAGATGCTTGTTCCAAGGCTCTGCTCTTAGGTGTGTTGGACAGGATTTATATATATATATTCGCAGGTACTTACATGTATGGCCTTCGGCTTTGTTCAGGTATTTTCCCACGTCATTGTAGTTGTTCTTTTAAAGTTGTAGCAACGTTTCGGCAGAATCTCATCTGCCATCATCAGGCATTAAAAGCATAACTATAATGATGTGGGAAAATACCCAAACAAAGCTGAATAACATACATGTAAGTACCCACGAAAACTTAAGAAAACATGCATATATATATATAAGATTGAGAGTATCTTGGCAACATTTCGATGAGGTCCCACTTGCCACCTTCAGGAAAAGACCCAAACACGCCAAGACCTGCATACCTGTACCCGTGAAAATCTATGAAAACATATATATAAGCTAAGCATTTCTGCAGCTATGAGCAATTGGGCTCAAGGGCCTATGCCTATGAAATGCCATGGGATTGGATAAAAATCCATCTATTTCCTTCTGTCCAATGGCTTTACTACAGTCTAATGGAAAGAATGCAGTTTAGCATAAATGCAAAATGTTCCGGTCATCTATTCCCTATAGGCTTACGCAGTAATTAAACACAGGGGTGAAACAATTCACATTGCAGTATACTGCAGTGAGGTTTTTCTTGTTCTCTTAAGGATGTGCATGCAGCTTTAGTAAATTATAATGAAAGGCTTAGAAGGTCGTCTGCTAGTTTAGGTTTCCAAGAACCACTATAGAGTTTGTGACTAGGTCCAAAGCTGTGATAATATCAAATGCTTTGATTTGTCTGTTTTCTGTACAATTAATCATGACATTCTCATTCCATCATTCAAATGTTGCTTTTCCTTGTTCCTTTCAATGCCCTTTACAAGAACAGTATCTTTCTATTCACTGATTTTGAATTATGTAGGTACAGAATCCTATCATAAATTTGCCTAGCAATTTATACAGACACCCAACAAATCTCTATAGCAACAAGACATTTGGTGTTCATTCTCTATTCTTTGCTTTCAAGTGCAGCAAATGACAAACATTATTTGTCAAAGGTATAGTCTCCTTTTAAAAAATTAAGCTGAGTAAGATAAAGACTTCCTGCAGCCATTTCTTCAGCAGATCCCACTGAGGCTATAGAGCCCATAAAACTGGAAGCACAAAAGCAACCAAATTTATTTGTTTACAAGTAAATCATTTCTGTGGCCACTGGCAAACCCTCAGCAGTTGTGCAATCTGTGGAAGAAAAGATAGAACAGTTATGGCTGCCAAAAATACAAGTAGCAGGATCTTGTTTACAATACGCAAATCATGTGTTTCATAAACCTTTTTTGGTTTCCCAGTCAAACCTGCATTTAGAATATCTGCAAATTTTATTTCTATATTGACTTGATTAAAGACACAGCAAGCACGCTTATTAAATGACTATGCACTAATTTTGCAGTACATCTATATTTTATTCACAGCCGGATTATTTATTTTAGACATTATTTGATTTATAAAGCAGTTTTATATAATTTGTAAACCAGCAGTAATATGAAGGAATGCAGCTTAACGTAAACCAAAAAGCCAGTGTGACATTCTTCATTTTAGCCTTTTTGACATCAGCAGGTAAAAAAAATAAACTACTAACAAAAATTGGCTATAGAGCAGATTTTTTAAAAAATCAAAATTTTGTTCGATTAACAAAGTAGATGTACAGTCTTCAGGCCAACGGCTTAGCTAAGTCATTGTCATCATCGATATTTGGAATCAAAATATTATTTCAGTTTTAAATATTTCTCCTGACCAGAAATAACTGGAGCGCTATAATTCAGATGATCTTCCCCTCATCAAATATTCATTTTAGTTTAATGTTGCATTTTGTTTAAAACCCACTTCATACTGAGCACATGGCAGCCAGATTCTGTTACTATTTTCCACAATGGGCATATAAAATATAAAGAGGGCCAAACATTTTGGATCATGTGGGAAAAAGATACATGCATTCTGAAATCCTTGTGATTTATTACTTAATGGCTGCATATCTTTTCTTATTCTTTATGTGTTTATTATAGAAATCATTGCTATGGATGTTAGCCAAATGCTTTAGTTTGTTTGCAATTATGGTCTCTGACCAAAATATTTCATAAAATGCCAAATGTATCCTGTTTATAGTGTTTGTATAGTAATTTGCTTTGTGCAAGCTGCAAAAACGTTCTCAGAGGCCTCATCTCTTTTCTGCCATAAATGCTCTGGTTGCTGCTCTTCCCCACACAAAAGATATAAGACTAAACACTAATGTTGCTAATTCTCCTTCACTGCCATGTCTTTCCTGGAAAGGCGAAGGCAAAGGGATGGGCCAGCCATTAGAGGTTTTTTTTTTTTTTCATCAGCATATCTGTACAGACTGGGAGCATTCAGTCTGCCTTTTCCAGCAATCATAATCACTGTGGATAGAAATGATCTCCAACTGTCATGTTCACTTCAAAACATTTCTCCTTGGTCTTGAATTAGGTGGAAGCAGCAACTGATTCAGATACCGACAGCAAAGGCTTACGGGAGTATCATTCAGTTGGAGTGCAAGTGGAAGATGATAAGCGGTAGGTTGGGCCATTTCTGTATATTTTTTTGTCTGCACGATGTATAGTATAGAATAATGTCAGACTCAAAATCAAGAATGGTATATGGTAATTCTTCCAAGCTGAGTTCTTTATTGTTCCACACCTGTAGACAAAATCTTGCCAGATGTGTTGCCCTGCTCCCTACAAATACACACACACACACATACACACACATACACACCCCTATGGTAAGAGTTCTACAGGAGTTTATTCACCCACCCACCCCAACAGGTCCTCTGTTGCACAGGTCTGGATTCCAAGGTCAGCACAGCAAGAGTCACTGGGTAACCGACTCCAATGGGCACACACAAAGTCCAGGAAAGCAGTCCAGGAATCAAACACACTAGGATACATGGCACAAACACACAAGGCACAGAATTGGGCACATTGCTCCAGCAACACTCAAGTCTTCAGGGTGGGGTTAAATAGACAATGCCGGTGCTGCCCTTCATGAGAGGCGAGCTAGATTACCTAGCTGACCAGCATTGTGCCTGTCTCCTCTACGTGTTCTTGATCAGGAGGAAGTGTGGACTCCACCTCCTCTTCATTGCTAAGGGGCGGCACATGCACTCTATCCTCACCTGGAGCCTCCTGGCCAACTTGCTGCAGCTGTAGCTCGCCTCCTTCAGCCTCAGCCTGTGGCTGGTCTGATCGACCCAGCTGAGGCTGCTCCATTAGGCTAGCCTTCTTTGAACCCCGATGCTGACCAATACTCAGTTCCATGCTTTCCTCTGCATACTCAAACTCAACCTCCTCCTCTGAACTTGCATCTGTAGAGGGGTCCAGGAGTGGATCCATTTCACCAAACTGAGGACTCATCTACAATATACTGTATGAACTATTAAGAAGAAGCTGTCTTCACCCTCTGTCTCTCACACATAATATCTGGGATGAATTACCTCTTACTCTTCTGGAATTCACTCCCTCTTTCCTGGGAATCCATCTCCTCACTACATTACATCCCATAAGATCAGAATTTCTCAACCTTGGCAACTTGAAGATTTGTGGATTTCAACGTCATGCTGGAAATTCTGAGAAATGAAGTCCAAGTTGTCAAAGTTGAGAAACACAGGTACAGATATAGTCATGTGCTCACAGATATCTATTGTTTCCAAATAACAATGAGAAACATTTCTCAAACCCCATCATCTGCACCCTCTGTTTTAAACTTCATGGTTTTTAATTCATTTATTTGTGTTTAGTTTAGTAATGATGTGTCACTGTAACATTTACAAAATACTTCTATTTTCTACTGTGAGAATAAATCAACATTTGCTGTCCAAATGAAGTTTGACTGATATTGATTTGTATCTTGCTTTGAGTCATTAATAACCATTTATCCTATAAAGACTGCAGTCCATTCATGTTGTACCTTTCAATCTTTATATTCATTGTTATTAATATTTCTAAAGCTTTTCTTAAAACCCTGAAAATAGCAGAATGTAGATGGTGCCTTCTTTTTATAAACTAAACATTGTCAATATATGGATCAGTGTATTATTTTTCCATTTTACTCCAGCCATGGACGATTTAAGCGCTCAAACAGTGTAACGGCAGCTGTTCAAGCCGATTTAGAACTTGAAGGCTTTCCTGGACACATAACAATGGAGGACAAGGGACTTCAATTTGGTGGCTCTTTCCAGCGACATTCAGAGCCAAGTACTCCTACTCAGTATGGTGCAGTAAGAACTGTACGGACACAAGGCCTGTTTAGTTATAGAGAAGATTATAGGACCCAGGTTGACACCTCCAATCTCCCACCACCTGAACCCTGGCTGGAACCATCCATGGAGACCATTGAAACAGGACGAATGTCTCCATGTCGACGGGATGGGTCATGGTTTATGAAGCTGCTACACACTGAGACTAAAAGGATGGAAGGATGGTGTAAAGAAATGGAGAGAGAAGCAGAAGAAAATGATCTCTCTGAAGAAAGTAAGAATATGTCTAATTCTTTCCATGCTTATTTTTATTTTATAGTTTGTAATAATTCACCTCTGTACTGTGGCTGCTATCACTTTGCATTTTGGCGTTGGACAAAATAGGGAAATTTTGATGGACCATGCACTCTGCCATTACACTGCAGAGTGACTTCCCCAGTGTACTTCTTTTGCTTGTAAAAGCTAAACTTCTACATTTTCTATATCAAAATCACGTGAATATGTTTCCTTGTAAGTACTGATTTCCAGATATGAAAGAGAATTCAGATGGGATTTCAAACATAAAACAAAATACACTAAGCTTTTAGAGAGAGTAAGAATTAGATTAGGAAGTATTTGACTCTTGCCTTCATTATATATTGCTAGCTTTAAAGAAAAATAGATCAAATTAATACCAGAAGCCCAGTAGAAATATATATTGTTTCTAAGGTTAACATATTTTATGGATTCTATTATTTCTAAGTTCCTATTAAAAGTTTACTAGCTTTTCATATGCTGGTGAATAGTAATTCTGAATAAAATTGTTGTTCACCAATCACAGTTTTGCCAATCGGATAAGTTACTCATGATTGCATTAATGCAATGTACCCTCAAAGACCACCTAGAACAGTGGTCACCAACTGGTGGTCCCTGGACTACTAGTGGTCTGTGAGAAAATTTTGGTGGACCGCAGAAAAATTATTTGCATTTTTTATATTGCACTAAATACTATTTATCTTTTTAAAAAGTTCATATTAGTGGTCCACAGGATTTAAAATTTGAATTTGGTGGTCCCTGAGGTCCAAAAGGTTGGTAACCCCTGACCTAGAAGCTATGGCTGGTTCAGAAAGCAGCTGTGTAAGCAGTAGCAGATGCCTCTTGGTGTGCCCATGTGCACGACTGCATTGGTTGCCAGTCAGCTTCAGAATGGAATTCAGGGTGCTGATTTTTACCTATCAATCTCTATTTTTACCTAGATATCTCTGGATATCTGAGATAAGGCATTTGAGTTTCCAATCATATCTGCCCAGCCACTATATTCTGGTAGAGTGGGTGTGGCCCAGGTCCCCAGTATAAAAACCATCCTGCGGGACTGAGGAAGTGAATCTTCCACCCTCTGAAACAGCATCCCCCCTAGAGAGAAGGATGACACCCTTTTTTCTGGAGTTCCTGAATGCTTTGAAAGACTGGCTTTGGTCCCAGGCTCGAGGTTGATATTTATTATTGTTCAATGGTTCCCTGTTTTGTTTTGTTTAGTTTGATTTTGCTCTGGACTGTCCATCTGATATGATGTTTTTATTTGATTTGATGTGATATTTTTTCTAGTTTTGTACACTGTCCAGAGTCCATTGGAGTTGGGCAGATAGTAAATTCAAATAGATAAATATAAATAGTTTCGTATAATGTCAATAAAATATGACCAAAGCGTGTTATGTAAATCATACTTAGAACTAGTATCGATAATAGAGGTGATTGATTGATTTCCAATTCTGAACAGCACATGCTTAGAAATTGGGAAAACCTGTTTTAGAAACTGGTGTTTTATCAGTTATATTACAGAAGTAAGCATACAATACAGTGGAGCTTCAGGACGTGATCATCATCCATTCCCGGACTCCGTCACAAGCGGATTTGGGCATGTCCGGAAGCAGGACCGACTGCACATGCGTGCAGTCAAAAAAAATGGCACTGAAGGGGAAATTGGCACAGAAAGGGAATCTTTCCGTGCCACTTTTGTTTGCCACCCAATTTTTGAATTGTGACCTGATTCAAAAATCAGGTGGATTTTTTGTTTGCCACCAGATTTGGTCGCAAACAGGAGCGTTCATGACCCAAGGTTCCACTGTATATTCTATCTTGGTTATCGTATATTATTTTCTATAGGTAAGGACTTTTGTCTGTTTTTCATCAGTTATCAACAGCAGTCCAAACTCATGTCCATAGAAACAAACACTGAATAGGAAGATTGAGGAAAGATTGTTTCAATTTGCCCTAAAATAAGAATAACATATTTTCTAATAGGTACAAATTACAAGGCAGATATATTGTGTTTTGTGCTAAGACAAGTTGACTTTGGGAAGCTACAATATAAATTGCTCTCCACTCTTTCCACGTAAAACATAAACAGGTAGCAAGTCAGAAAGAGTTGTACAATTTTTGCTCTATTTTTGTATTTTTGAATACAAAAATAAACATATCTTGCTCTACATTAGAAATAAATGGTTGGATCCAGAGAAACTTCATCAATCAGTCAAGCAGGCAAGCAAATGAAGGAATGTTTTTTTCCGCAGAAGTCCTTCAATGCTAGCCCATTAGTTAGCTAGCAAACGTAGTTGAATTCTATATCAGATAAAATAATTGTATACTTCCATTTTAAACCAAGATAAGCATTTTCAAAGCTAAACATTTATTAAACTCTTTTTCATGTTGCACAAATAGAAATTATTTAAACAATGCTTTGTTTCCTGAAAGGACTGAATTGCTTCAAACATGTTTTAGTGTAATTAAACGAACAGTAATATATATTTCTCTTTTTAGTTCTAACATGAAATCAATTAGTATTCCACATTTTTTGAAGATAAACAAAAACATGACCCAAAAGCATTTTAAAGGAGCTATATAAATCTCCATAAACCTACTCATCTTGATCTACTTAGAGTACAAGTTTCATTTTATTCCAATATTTGATATTCAAAAAATTTAATAACAATTCTGCAATACAAAAAAGTAAAATCTTGTCAGGAGTAGTTATAGTATTTCAGTTCAGTAAATCATGCAGGAAATAACCAGCTAAAATAGGAATTATTTTTCTTTTTTGCAATGCTATCCCTAACCTGAAAATAAGGAGAAACTTTCTGACAGTGAGAACAATCAACCAATGGAACAGCTTGCCCTCGGAAGTTGTGGGAGCGCCATCAGTTGAGATTTTCAAGAAGAGATTGGACTGCCATTTGTCAGAAATGGTGTAGGGTCTCCCGCTTGGGCGGGTGGGTGGACTAGATGACCTACAAGGTCCCTTCCAACTCTGATTATCTGTTATCTGTTAAAGTCAGCAGTTTTCTGTGAGTGCAAATTTCATTAAGATCCATGCCAGTGGGATTCCAGGGCTTGGGTCCATGTGCAGTTAATTAACTTTTGTGTGTGTACTATTTCAAGAGAATACTTTTGAAGCTGCTGCTTATATATAGCTCACTACTACAATACTGCTTCATTATTCCCCATTGCAGATTCAATGGATGTGTCAGGTTGCTTTTACAGAATATGGCCAACCTTAGTCCTTTGATTAAAAGATGTGCGCTTGTAATGTATACCTGGGATAGTGAAAATACCAGTCTCAAAGCATCAGCAATTTATATCTTCAGACCAACAATCTTGGTGACTGTGTTGATGGTGCTGATAAAATATCCCTTTTAGACCATGAAAGGAGATGTTAGGTTTTCACAAACATGATGGTGATAGCCACCCTATACTTCTCTCTGTGAATGATTAACTGTAAGGAATAAGCCATTCATGGATAACATCTAATTTTTCTCAAAGCCATGGGAGCATTCTTCTTTTAATATTGTGTGAACAGAGAAGACATATATGAAAAGTTTGTTGTACCAATATACCAGTAGTATATTTTTGTAATTCATTCTCTGGAGCGGTTAGACAGAAGTGTCACTCTTCAAAATGTGATACTGAATTTTGGACAAGGAAAGGGGCTCTAAAACTTGGGGAGGGGATCCACATCTTCATAGTGCAAGTAGCATTACTCAGCTACATGTGACAGGAAACTTTCTTTGACAGTGCAGGGTTCCCAATGACATGGAGAAAATTTTGGTTCCAAATTGAAATTCTTTAGACCTTTGCTGAATATGGTTTCCTCTACCAGCCTGTGGCAATAATAAAAAGGAATGGAAGAAGAAGAGTTGTTATTGGCTTGAAGAACAATGCATCTCCCTTGCTTTGATGATTGCTGTGTAGTTTTAAAAATGCACTTTATAAGTTTAAGATTATTTTTTTGTCCACGAATGTTGAAAGTCGATGCTCAATTATAAAGAAAAATGAATTCTACGTAAATGTGTACCTGTGTGTGCACACACCACTCAAACATCATGTATCGCATAAGTCGTCTTTCAAAAACAATTATATGTTAATTTTAATGTGTAACTAATTAGTCATTAGAAATTTGGGAAATATCTTTTTAAGAAGTACTTCTGAGGATAATACTTTTGAAAATAAGTGTTAAATTAAATATATAACAAGATCTCAAAATGTAGAACAAGAATTGGAAAAAAATGGATTCTCAATGTTCTTTTCCTGTGCAACTGTGCAACAGTCATTCAGCTGGATTTTGCAGTTTATCTTAGTAATCATTTGCCATCTAAGTATCACTTCCAGTGATGAACAGATACGAAATTACTGAAATGCAAAGCCATAAACAGTCCTCTAAACTTTCAGTGTAAGTTTCAAACCTTTAATCACCTTCTCCTCTCCCCTGTCACTTTACTAATTTCTGAAATATTTAATTGTCTGTTTTGCTTTTTAATTAATAAGAAAAAAGAGCAAAACCAAATACAACGGGGATGGTAATATACTGTATACATAAAAGTGTTTTAACAAAAAATGAAGGGCAACTAAGAACAAAGAAAATATATGTCATTATAATAATAGTTACAATTCTATATATACTTGTCTAACAAAAATTCAAGTATGTATATACAGTATTTCTAATACATTTACATAAATATTTTTGTTTTTAACCTACTGTATTCTGTATTCATTATATTTATGTATACAAAGTCTAAGTGTATATCAGTGATGGGATTCAATTTTTTTTACTACCGGTTCTCTGGGTGTGGCTTGGTGGGTGTGGCAGGGGAAGGATACTGTAAAATCTCCAGTCAGAAGTTATATTTCGTTGGTTCTCCAAACTACTCAAAATTTCCACTACCGGTTCTCCAGAACTGGTCAGAACCTGCTGAATACCACCTCTGGGGTATAGTCAATCTGCTCAGAAGAGGCAAGTGCCATCAGGTCTTCACTCCTTTTAATAGGTGGGGCCATACATTTATCTTTCCAGTGATGCATTATCAGTCTTTTGGCCATAATAAAGGCATGGAGAATCCATTTACTATGTCCAATTGTCAAATTTTTCTATTCTATTCTATTCTATTCTATTCTATTCTATTCTATTCTATTCTATTCTATTCTATTCTATTCTATTCTATTCTATTTTGTTTCTGGAATATAAAAATGTGGTCCTTACCATCAGTGGTGGGATTCAAAAATTTTTACTACTGGTTCTGTGGACGTGGCTTAGTGGGTGTGACATGGTTTGGTGGGCATGGCAGGGGAAGGATACAGTGAAATCTCCATTCTCACCCCATTCCAGGGGAAGGATACTGCAAAATCTCCATTCCCTCCCCACTCCTAGGGGGAGGTTACTGCAAAATCCCATTCCCTCCCCACTCCTAGGGGGAGGTTACTGCAAAATCCCATTCCCTCCCCACCTCACAAATCTGCTTTCCAGCTCCGTTCTCCTGTACAGGGCAACAAAAGAAGACCTAGCCAATCAGCTGGGACTTGGGAGGCAGAGAATAGGTGTGGGCGGGGCCAGTCAGAGGTGGTATTTGCCGGTTCTCCAAACTACTCAAAATTTCCACTACTGACTGGTTCTTCAGAATTGATCAGAACCTGCTGAATACCACCTCTGCTTACCATCCCTGCAAATGTTTAAACTATTTCAAGCTACATGTCCTGCATGTGATACAACATGTAGAATCCACTGGGCTAAAAATACACTAGGAACGTATTAAAGATCCAGTGGATCAGAGTTAAGAGGAAAGCTGTTAATGACTTTGGCCCATCCTACTCTCTTCACTGAGATTGGAATTGCAGCTATATTTCACATGTATTTTTTAAAAAAAGTCAGCACAAAACTGTCTGAAAAAAATGTGAATATCTGGTAAACACTGAACTTAACAGGTTAGTGACAGAAACACTTGGATGTTCCATAAAAAGTAGATCCACAGAGAATAGGGATTCTAGTCAATATAGCCAGGATTTTTACATTATTTTCTGAGGGGATAAAAGAGTATACAGTAAGATTTGATCATATGCTTTCACCTTGATTCCTTTGCAACTTGAGAAAATAATTTCTTTTCTCAAGCTTCTCGTGTGGCTTTTTCCAATATTGTTTAAGCTGAGCTGATCTCTGATTTTCTTTCTCGAATACAGTTTGAAAAGCCTACGTACCTAATTAAATTCATAACCAAAGAGCAATAATAATATTTTTTCCTAGATTAAGCCTTGGTTATACAAATATATTGGTTGTTTTCTTGCTTCAGATCTGAATTGATATTCACCCTTCATCTTCAGTTTTAGGTAAGATCCGAAGCGCTGTAGGAAGTGCACAGTTGCTAATGTCGCAAAAATTCCAGCAATTCTATTGGCTTTGTCAACAGAATTTGGTAAGTTCACATTTTTAAACATTGCATAGCATATTTATTTATTTATTTTCTCAAACTTTAAATGCTATAGTTTTATTATTCATCTGGAGATTAATTTCCTTCAGAGGACATTTCATTCCACATCTGCTAAGCAGACGATTGCGCATATAACTTGTGCATAGAAGCTTCATTATTTGTTTATCTTGTTGTGCAGTATCCCTATTGCCTGAGCTTTAAAGAGGAAGGCCCCAGTTCTCCTATGAGCATTTCAGAGTCATCTGGGAATTCATTGCATCTCAGCATGATCTACATTAATGCCTTGGTCAGGGTGTAAAGTGATAAAGATTGTGATAAGATTGCATTGAAATCATGTTTGATATCTTTTTTATATTTGATGATATTTAGTTTTATATTAGAAATCACCTTCTGAGGGCATGACTTAGATATGAGGGAGGCTTCTGCTGGTCAATATTGCCATCAAAGAACAACTGTTACTGTTACATTGGCTTTTCCTAGAACTAAATAAAATTTTGAGGGGGAATTAGAAGATGTGACCTATAAGTCTGCCTTATTTATAAAACCAATCATTCTGTAATATTTGCAGTTTAACCTTTACCAGCATGAGAAAGCGTTTCTTCTGTCTATGGCTATTTGAAATTTGCTATCCAATAAGATTAAACCAAACCAAGGTTTAATCTTGTCAAATGGACATAGTCTTCAGTTACAATTGCTGGATTTTGATTCATAGAATTAACAGTATCAGCACCCATGCCAGATTGTTCCTGTTCTTATGTTTCTTTCTCCTCATCCTTCTTTTCTTCCCCCCACTGTGGGTGCGGGGAAGTAATAGCAATAGCACTTAGACATATATACTACTCCACAGTGCTTTACAGCCCTCTCTAAGCGGTTTACAGAGTCATCTTATTGCCCCCACACTATCTGGGCCCGCAAGTGATTCTACGTGCATCACAATGGCAGAACATAAGCCCTGTGTCCAAAGTCAGGATACAAGTTCAATTGGGTGGGTTTAGGTCATGTTGAAATCATACCCAATGTCACTTTTTCCTAATTATGGCTAGTTGTGGCTGCTAAGCCTTAGTCTATCCCAGAGAGGTCCACCACATTCGTTGAGAGTATCAAAATATCTGCCCCATACAAGTAGAGGCACTTTTAATGAAAGCCAAGCTTCCACTGGATTTAACCTTCTCTTTTTGCTTTTCCACATTTTTTTCTGTGCATGTTCTTCACTACTTACCTAAGATGAAGAGTGGAAACTGTGAGTTTTCATACACATTAGAATTGTAAAGTGCTTTGGACCACACCGCTACCAACACTGGCAGGGCAAGGTACTGCATACAAAAAGGGAGTAAATCCCATATTCAGTAGCACTGATAAAGTTACCTGGTTGGGTAATGAAATATCTGCAAGCATGTCCAGTTTTGTTAAGTCACACAGTAGTAGTAGTAGTAGTAGTAGTAGTAGTAGTAGTAGTAGTAGTAACCCAATTCACTGAGTGACTGAGACAATTACTCTTTTTCAGTTCAACAGACTCACAAGATTCTTGGTGTTCAGAAAAAATAATAATGGAGGGAGCACTGTGAAGGCTACTTTGAGTTCCTGAATAAAAGGAATAGGATTAGAATTTAAAAACAACAACAGAAAGGGTGTAAATGCACAAGAGGATCATTTTGGGTAATGAGATGTTATTGTGAGTTGTGCTATCTCCACCAGTGGCACAGTGGTTAAAGCGCAGTATTGCAGGCAAATTATGCCAACAGCCTGGGGTTCGATCATGATGGGCTTGAGGTTGACTTACATCCTTCCAAGGTCAGTAAAATGAGGACTTAGATTGTTGGGGGCAATATGCTGGCTCTGTAAACCTCCCAAAAGATACTGCATATAAGCCTAAATGCTATTGCTATTGCTAAGTGCTATTGCTATCCAAGGCTGGTGATTGGCCAAGAGGAGTCTCAGATGGCAAATGTGAAGATACATCATGATAATATAAACATGCATTTATTTTTATAACACAGAAAAGGCCCAGTGCTGCCACATAACTGGGTCAACTACCATTCAGAAATTCAAGGACTTCAGGAGAATGTAAACTATAGAAATTATTTGTCTAGATTGTTATAGACAGTCAACATAAATATTTCAACTCCTTTTAAGTAGACGATACATTATTCTTGAATAAGCTGAGGCACACATGTTTCATTTAACAATAATTTGCTTGAAACCAGACCATTGAAAGAAAGAAATACAGCAGCCAACTTTCTTAAACTTGTCCAAAGGAAGAGAACTCGGGACATAGTTCAAGTTGTGGAGTCTTAATATAATTTGCCTGTGGATTCATATGAAGGGTGTTTATAAATCTCTAGGCAATGCCAAATATGGTATCTTTAGCCCATATTGTAGAATTATAGAACATATTCTCCTGAGTTACATTCATAGACCAAGACCAAAACAATAATAATATTAATAAATAAATTTAATTAATAAATAAAGGAATCCCAGCTAACCAAAAGTGATCATTTGTATATTAAACAGCATCCCTCTATATTATATGCCTGTTTTGAAACTGGGGGAGGTTCTAAAATAATCCAAAATAAATAAACAAACAAACAAAACCCCCCAAAAATGCAGACCAGTGCTCAAGCTTTGCTTTTTAAGAAATTAAAAACTGATGTAACGCAATGCTTACATTAATTACATATATTAATGTCAATGCTAAGTTAGAGATAAATTGCCAAGCTTCCTTTCATTCACAAATTTGTAATGCTAGCACAGACATATGTTCACACACAAATACATAGACACACGGCTGAAGCAATGTTCCCCTACCTGATGACCTTTAGGCATGTGCAAATCCCATTATTTCAGCTAGAGTGACAAGTGGTGTCTTTGAAATCCATCATACCTTGAGGTTGCTGGGTTGGGAAAGATGGCCTAAGTACCTTTTATTTCACATTTTGCCGAAACAAGATTTTTCTACATGAGCCAAGCTACTTGAGATTAATGCTGCCATTGTAATGAGATCAGAGCTCAAAGCACTGCATAAGTCAATACAGATGTGCTAACATGATGCAGGCCCTTTCTGTTAGCTGTCTTCCTCTGGACATAATCTGTTTATTTAGGTCTGCTGTAATTATTATTTTAAAATACATAACTTCCTAAGTGAGATTACATTTAAGGATGCCTCAAGATGAAGCATCTCTCTTATTATGTATGCCTTTTGAGGAAATTGCATTAGTCTGGAGCCATACAGGTTATTACAGATACATAAAGTTCAGCAGCACGAGACTGTCCTCTTGTGGCCCAAAGCAGATCAAGCAAGCTTCATTTAAGGAAACAACTGGGCTGAAAAATTAGGTAGTTGTGCTACAGATTGTTTCAACAGAATACTAGACCTTTGTTCAGAAATAGCCAAACTTACAGGTCATAAATAGAGGACTTCTGTACTTTCTAACTGATAGGTGCTTAAACTTATTTAAGGCAGGCAATCGTCAATGGGAGGTGAAGTGATGTTCAGGAGAAATTCATCAGTCACTTTCCTTATCTTAAAACTTTCCAAAAACTGAAGGAATTCTCCACAGCCCAAGGCCACAGAATAATGGATTTAAGTTACATTTGTAGAAAAAAAAACTTCGTATTGTAAGACTAATTCAACAGCAGAACTGATTGCCAAATGAGGTTGAGAGAAGCCCCCCTTTCGTCTGTGTTTTCAAGTAAAAAGTAAAGTATTTGGTATGTTTTAATCTGGATTTCTGCATTCAGCAAGGGGTTGAACTTTGATGGCTTGAGTCTTCCATGCAACATTTGACCATTTATATAATGCCAAACATGTTCTACACCCGAGTTTTCAAACAAATGACATTTGGTTTTTTCGTTTGTTTGTTTGGTGAATATGGCAGGATCCCAGTGCTATGCCCCGACCAACTGCACAGGACCTTGCAGGATTCTGGGACTTATTACAACTCTCAATTGAAGACGTCAGTATGAAATTTGATGAACTGCATCAGATGAAACTGAATGAATGGAAAATAATAGAATCACCCGAAAAAAAGGTAAGCACAATCTAGTTGCTTGTGGTGCGTATCTTTGACTTTTAAGCCTGAAATTATTTTCCTTGTGTGAAATCATTAGTGGACAATACTCTGCAGAAGTGCAGGGAACATGGCAAGTACCATGGCAGGTATTTCTTAGCATGCTGGCATATATAATACCATAGTGAAGTCCTCCCTCCCTTCCCTTCCTCCCTAGAATTTATATGCTACTCAGACCAAAGCTCAAAGCAGCTTAAAAATAATAAAAATATATATTAAAATACAGCTATAAAAAAAACAATAGAGACACACACACACACACCCCACTTTCAACTCAATATTCCAAAGAACAGCTTTAACAACCAAACCCACAGGCAGATTCTTCTCATAGCTAAACTATTTCCCAAGAGTCTCTGAAAATGCTATTATTTTGTAACCTTTAAAAAAAATAGGAAACAATAAATCTAATCTTGGAAGGAACATGATTCCAAAGAAGTGACTGAGAAGGCTCTCTGAAGATGACATTATGAGATGATACCTCAGCAAATCCCATTTTTCCTAATATAGCTCAGTAGGCAGCCATCCAAGTCAGATGAGACTTTAAAGGTGATAACCAGAACTTTGAACTATAAGGAAACTAGCAACTAAGGCAGCTGTTACAATAGATGAGCTGGATGGGGGTGGAATCTAGACGTTCCCACCACTACACAAAATGATGAATTCTGGACCACCTGAAAATATGGCTAAGGTTTGAGTAACAGGGCCTCCTGATTCACAATAAGATGTTACTGGTGCCCACTAATGAAGTTGCATGAGTGTCCTCCTAATCCCAGCTGCTGCCTAGTCTTCAAGCAACAGGTATGAATCCATGATGACCTCCAAATTCTATTCTGCAACCCCAACCAGAACCAAAGATAAAAAAAAACTTTTGTATGTATAGCCTTTAATTCTTGCTGTGTTTGAACTATAGTATATTAATTCAAATTTTCTGGCACTGAGATAAGACTTCACCACATCTCCTGTTTAGCCCAGGAACAACATATACCGCTATCATCTGTATACTGATGATACTTGACCCTTTGATAGAGAATGATCTTACACAACAGCTTCCCATAAATATGAAATAATTCTCAACCTTGGGCCACCCTGTAATAGAGAGGTCTAGGGTATGACCTCTTCCCTTCCACTACTATAGACTGGAACTTCTCTTTCAAAAGCAGGCAAGTGACTGCACAATAATGCCCGCAACTCCAAATCCCCAGAAGTGGTCCTGTAAGATACCATAATTGGTAATATCAAAAGTTCCAGCTAGTGAGAGTTTCAGCAAGATCAGATCAGCTGTAGTCCGACTGGCCTGTGGTTGCCACAGGTTGCCCAAAGGAGTGATCAGTGATAATTGTGCTGACTGAGGACTGCCAGCAGTTTGGCAGTTCGATTCTCACTGGCTCATAGTTGACTCAGCCTTCTGTCCTTCCGAGGTGGGTAAAATGAGGACCCAGATTATTGGAGACAATATGCTGACTATGTAACCTATTTAAAGAGGGGGTAAATCACTGAGAAGCAGTACGTAATCTAAGTGCTATTGGATAGAATATTTAGATTTTCTGAGACCGAGATTAGAAATATAATGTGAATATTATGTACTAAGGATTAACCATATCTTTGGTAAAATTACCTGGTCCAATTATGCCCTGAAATCCCACAAAACTGCAAAAATTTCATGAGTTCTTATATTGTCATCTTGACCTCATGTTAAGATGCATATTTTGCAGAACCATCTCATAAGATCTTGGGTAATATTTGATTATTTTGCAACATTTTGATCATTATTGGAATTTAATTTGGAGGATTGTCAGCTCTTTGTTAGTTTAAGTTAAAGCAATCTCCCTATACTAAATAAAATGAATCCTGAATATTAAAAGGAACACAATCTTATCAGCTCCCTTTTGATTACTTGCTCAGTCAATAGTCTGGCCAGGATTTTAGTAAAGAAAGAGCACAGAAATGTGCACACAGCTGCTACCTCATTTGTAGTGAAGAAACACATTAGTATTTAAAAACTTGTCTTTATATGGTTTTCACCTCACCTCTAAGGCTGAGAATTCTTAATAAAGCCAGTTAAATATTAGCCTGTTGACTTCAGTGTGAGAGTTTAAAATTCAGTTTTTCTTCCATGAAAGTTAAATACTTCTCATTTGTATTTCTAGCTGCAACCACTTTTGTCAGAGGGATTTAATCATTTTGGCAGGGCTAAATAAAAAGTGCTCAGGATACTAGTGCTCCATTCCATTCACCAGTATAAGGAGATCATCTGTTTATTTCTTTACTTGTCCTAGAAGATCTAGCAGAAACAACATGCTACAAGTTCATTCTAAGAAACATTGGCACCTAATGGGACAGAGGAAGTGTGCCTATTCTGTTGTAGCATTTGCCCTATGGAATTGTATTTCACCTACATGAAGGGAGGGACGTAAGGAGGGAGGAAGGAAGGAAAAAAATATAGCGATGATAGATGGTAGATGATGGGTAGGTAGGTAAGTAGATAGATAGATAGATAGATAGATAGATAGATAGATAGATAGATAGATAGATAGATAGATAGATA